GATAACATGTCAGTGACAGGATATCCTAACGCCTCCAAGGAAAACCAGTTAATACTACTATTATTCAAATTATGCACAAACCACTAAAGCCAAAGATGAAGAAATTGAAGATTTTTTTCCAACTTCTGCAGTCTGAAGTTTACCAATCATGCAATTAAGATGTGTTGATTATTACTGGGGACTGGAATGCAAAAGTTGGAAACAATGAAGAATCATCAGTAGTTGGAAATATGGCCTTGGTGATACAAATGATACTGGAGATTGCATGATAGAATTTTGCAAGTCCAATGACTTATTCATTGCAAATAACTTTTTTCAGCAAAGTAAATGGCAGCTGTACACATGTACCTCACCAGATGAAATACATATCAACTACATCTGTGGAAATAGAGAAATGGAGAAGCTTAGTATCTTCAGCCAAAACAAGGCCAGAAGCTGACTGTGGAGCAGACCATAAACTACTCACATGCAAGTTCAATTTGAAGCTGAAGAAAATTAAATAAGTCCATGAAAGCCAAAATATGACCTTGATTATATCCCACCTGAATTTAGAGACCATCTAACAAATATATTTTATGCATTGAACACCAATGACCAAAAACCAGAGGAATTGTTGGATGATATCAGGAACATTTAATGACATCAAAAAGTCATTAAAAAGACAGGAAAGGAAGAAAAGACCAAAGTGCATTTCAGACGAGACTCTGAAACTTGCTTTTGAAAGGAGAGTAGCTAAAGTAAATGGAAGAAATGACAAGTTAAAAAAAAGCTGAGCAGAAGATTTCAAAGAGCAGCTCAAGGAGACAAAGTCATTTATAATAAATTATGAAAATACCTGGAGTTAGAAAACTGAGAGGGAAGAACACGCTCAGCATTTCTCAAGCTGAAAGAACTGAAACCCTTGAGTTGCAATATTGAAAGAGTCTATGGGCAACATATTGAATGATGCAGTAAACATCAAAAGAAGATGGAAGGAATACACAGTCATTGTATCAGAAAGAATTGGTTAATGTTCATCTATTTCAGGAGTTGGCATGATCAAGAACCAATGGTACTGAAGGAAGAAGTTGAAGCTGCACTGAAAAAATTGGTGAAAAACAAGACTCAAGGAATTGGCAGAATACCTGTTGAGATATTTCAGCTAATGGATGCTGTGCTGGAGGCACTTACTGGTCTGTCCAAGAAATTTGGAAGACAGCTACCTGGCTACCTGACTGAAAGAGATCAGTATTTGTACCCATTCCAAAGAAAGGTGACCCAATAGAATGTGGAAATCATTTAACAGTATCATTAATATCACATGCCAGTAAAATCTTGCTGAAGATAATGCAAAAATGGCTGCAGCGGTATATTGCCAGAGAACTTCCAGAAATGCAAGCTGGATTAATAGGAGGATGTGGAAAAAGGAATATCATTGCTCATGTTGGATGGATCTTGGCTGAAAGCCAAGAATACCAGAAAGATGTTTACTTGTGCTTTATTGACTATGCAAAAGCATTTGACTGTGTGGATCATAAAAAATTATGGACAACATTGAGAAGAATAGGAATTTTAAAACACTTAATTATGCTCATGAGGACCTGTGCATAGACCAGGAACAAGGGAATACTGCATGGTTTAAAATCAAGAAGGGAGTGTGTCAGTGTTTTTCCTTCACCATACTTATTCACTCTGCATGCTGAGCAAATAATCCAAGAAGCTGGACTATATGAAGAAGAATGTGACATTATGATTGGAGGAAGACTCATTAACAACTTATGATATGTGGAAAACACATCCTTGTTTGTTGGAGGTGAAGGTGACTTGAAGTACTTACTGATGAAGATTAAAGACTACAGTCTGCCATCTTTTCCCAACATAAAGAAAACAAAAATCCTCACAACTGGACCAATAAGTAGCATCACAATAAATGGAGAAAAGATTGAAGTTGTCAAAGATTTCACATTAGTTTGTTCCACAATCAACAACCACGGAAGCAGCAGTCAAGAAACCAGACAACGTATTGCACTGGGCAAATCTGCTGCAAAAGACCTCTTTAAAGTGTTGAAGAGAAAAGATGTCTCTTTGAAGACTAAAGTATGCCTGACCTAAGCCATGGTATATGCATGTGAAAGCTGGACAATGAATAAGGAAGACCAAAGAAGAGTTGATGCTTTTGAGTTGTGGCTTTGGCAAACAATACTGGAAGTACCATGGATCCAGAAGAACTAACAAATCTATCCTGGAAGAAGTCCAACCAGATGGCTCCTTGGAAGTGAGAGTGGCTGTCTTGGATTTGAGACTCCACCTCACCTACTTTGGTCATGTTGTCAGAAGAGACTGTTCCCTGGAGAAGGATATCCTGCTTGGTAAAGTGGAGGGTCAGTGAGAAGGGGGAAGGCCCTCAATGAAATGGATTGACATAGTGGCTACAATGATAGGCTCAGATATAGTAAGGATTGTGAAGCTGGCAAAGGACCGGGAAATGTTTCATTCTGCTGTACATAGGGTCGCTACGTACTGACTTGACAGCACCTAATGACAACATCCAAATCAATTGCAAATATGCAAAAACACTGATCTATTATGAGATTGTATTTTATCTTTGAAAATGCCTTTTTACACAGGTGTTGTTGTTGTTATTTGCTATGGAGTCAATTCTGACTCATGGCAACCCATGTGTTTCAGAGTAGAACTTCTCCATAAAGTTTTCAAGGCAGTGCTCTTTCAGAAGCAGATCTCCAGATCTGTCTTCTGAGGCATCTCTGGATGGGTTTGAACTGCCAACCTTTCAGCTAGTAATCGAGTGTTTAACCATTTGTGCCACCAGTTTCCTCCTAAAAAATATCACCCCAAAATTTGCTCAATAAAAGGTGTGTGTGCTTGTGTGGGGGAGATAGAGTAACTCTACAGTGGAGAAACCTGACAAACCTCACTTCAGCCAGGTGGTCAGAGTCACCAGCAGCAGTGATAAGTCATGTTGATTGCATGTACACTTGATAAATTATGTAACTGGAACTTTACCTCTGTGATCTTCCTCCCCAAAACCCATAATCCCATTATAACCATGAGAAAAACATTGGACAAATACAAGTTGTGGGCCACTGTACGAAAATACTTGGCCAGTGCTTTTCATGACTGTTAAGGTCATCCAAAGCAAGGGAAGTCTGAGAAACTGTTAGTGTAGAGAAGCCTGAGGAGACATGACAGCCACATGTAATGTGGTATCCTGTGTGGCGTTCTGGGATACAAAAAGGGCATTAGGTAAAAAACTGAGGAAATGTAAATAAAGCTTCTTTCTCTCTCTCTCTCTCTCTCTCTCTCTCTCACTGTCATCAAGTTGGATCCGAGGTGGTATCACTACAGAAGTAGATTGCCCAACCTTCCTTCCGAGGAGTGGCTGGTGGCTTTGAACTGTCAGCCTTCTGGTTAGCAGTCAAATGTCTTAGGCACTATGCTACCAGAGCTCCCAAATAAACCTTGGTTTTTAGTATATAATGATGTATCAATTTTTGTCTTCAATTCAATTAAAACTCAGGGTGACCTTGAAAGACACTGTAGAACTTCCCCATAGGGTTTTCAAGGCTGTAATCTTTGCAAAAGCTGTGTTGGAGTGGATGGTGGGTTCAGTCAGCTGACCTTTAGGTTAGTAGCTGAGTGCTTTAATCACTGCACACCAGGACTCCATTGGTCCATTAGGTGTACCAAACGTATCATAGTAGTGTAAGATATGGGAAACTGGAGGTGAAGTATATGAGAACTCTAAATGTAAAACCATTCTAAAATAAAAATTTAATAAAATAATATTAAAACACTCAATTTGAGCATATGCCATTTTATTTCTTTTAAATTGTTGCAATTATAGTTATCTGTCACTTAAGGTCCACAATACATTCTACGAAATAGGATGTTATGTAATTTGGACATTGTGCAAACACCATATTATTTATTGTGTATATGTTTGTATATATTCAATGTACATATATCAAAGTAACGCCTGTGCAAGCTGCTCTGGCTCTGCTTTAGTGCCCAGAGCCTTGAGGTTTGCAAATTTACACAGCAATTGGCTGCCTCTGGGTGAGTGGCACTCTGAGGAATCCTGGCAGCCTGGTTGGAATCAGAAGCCCAAGGGATAGAGTAGAGCAGTCACAGTCCAGCACCTACTCACAGGCACGGACCTGTGGGTAACAGGACACACACCACACACAGTCCCACAATGACAGCTTGACACTGCAAATTTGATACCAGCCCTGCTTCCTGGCAGCCTTCCAAGCAAGCCTGTCCTCCCCATTTAATGGACTTTTATGCAATCTGTCATTTCTGGAACAGATGTTATGCCACTCTTACCTGTATGGCATAAATATAACCATGGTAAGAATATTTTGCAGGAACTGAGCCACTTGAGTTGTTTTTCCAACAGTACAATCCTCATGTGATGTGGGAGGCCAGACATGTGGATGATGAATTGTGGTCAATACACATGTAGCCAATTAGATGAGTAAAGATGAGTGAATGAGGTCTTGGCAATACCCCCCCTTCCCCCAAGAAAATAGCAAGAAGTGAAGATGAAAAATTCCACAACTATTACCAGTGGCTGGTTCTGAAAGCACTTAGACCTCTGTATTCTTTGGGAACAGGGCAGGCAGTGTACCACATTGACATTTTGCATCCTTGCCCTTGTTTCTAACTTATTGTATCTACTTTAGGTCAAGTTTCATTTTGCTTTGGTTCGTTTGTTAAATATAATTTTCATAGTTATTCTAGTATGATCTATTGGACTTAACTGAACCCCTTAATCCAAAGCTGTGACTTTCTTCTTTAACTGAAATCTGAAACTCAAAGAAGAGGATGATAAAGGTTGTTTTGACAAGACAAGCAACTAATTATGAATAGATAAACCACAAAGTAATGGCTTTTAATTCATATTCACTTTAAATGCATTATTTAGAATATAACATTTAAGATTTTGATGCAGATGGTGAAGCTTAGAAGACTTGTTTTTGTTCTGACATCCTTTGTAGTTCCACCCAGTATTAAAGGAGGAAATGTCACAACAGAAATATCAGCGTTGATAAACAGTGTAATTAAACTGGAATGTGAAACACGGGGACTTCCAGTGCCTGCTATTACTTGGTATAAGGATGGCCAGCCAGTCATATCCAGCTCACAAGCACTTTATATTGATAAAGGGCAATTTCTTCAGATCCCTCGAGCCCAGGTCTCTGATTCGGCAACATACACATGTCATGTAACCAATGTTGCTGGAACTGCAGAAAAATCCTTCCACGTGGATATCTATGGTAAAGAAAAATAAATGTTTGAATAACATTCTTTCTTCCTGTGCTTTCTAAAGTGCTAACTTCCAGTTAGGCCACTAATAAACTGCTATGGGTAATGATCACTTTCAATAAGCATGGATAACAAAAGACAGAATTTGTCCAATGATTTGGGAAAATACATTTATAAAGGCTAAGGTGAGCAAGAAGTGAGTCACTCATTCATTGGCACTTGGCGCATCCAGACCATTTGGTTCTTCTGGAGAAGTAACTTGGTTGATAAGACTGAGTTTCCCTTATTTGTCCTTTATTAGCCAGTACAGTATATCTTAGAATAATTAGAATAGTTGCAGTTCAGCTGAACCAAGAAATCATTTCTTCAACAGCTTAGAGGGGGATAGAAATGTAAGTAGCTCCTATAGTCAATCTGTATGAGAAATAATATCCCCTTTATTTTAGTAAGATGCATTTTGTAACTGCACAAAGAAGGCCTGACATAATACTTTTGTCTACTCAGTTCCTCCAATGATTGAAGGTGACTTGACTACCCCTTTGAGTAAGCAAGTGATTGTTGCTCATTCCTTGACACTGGAGTGTAAAGCTGTTGGCAATCCTCCTCCTGTTCTCACCTGGTTAAAAGATGGTGTACCTGTGAAAGCCAGTGACAACATCCGCATAGAAGCTGGTGGGAAGAAACTTGAAATCGTGAATGCCCTAGAAGTTGACCAGGGACAGTACATATGTGTGGCTACCAGTGTGGCAGGAGAAAAGGAAATCAAATATGAAGTTGATGTATTAGGTAAATAAAGATGCCATTGCCTGGTTCTCAGATTCATAGCAAACCTAACTAGTTTATTAAACACTTTTTGTTCATGGAATAATAAAACAATATCAAAGGCTTAGTTTATCTCTTTAATTCTAGACTATATACATTACCAAGAGGTGTATTTGTCATAGGAATTACCAAGATCTGCAAAGCTACCTAAATGTACTAATTTTGAAAGATAGATATAGTTTGTGTTTGTAAGTGCATAGATACATTTTTGCATCTCTGACAATCTAATTGGCTTCTGGCATAAACATTGATTTAGACAAAAGAAAACTTAGACTCTGGACTTTGGGAGTCATTTTGCAAACTTAAGTCTCTGTTTTTTTCTCTATAAACTGAAGGTTCTGAATAGATGACACAATTATAGGGGCTCCATTCTCTTGTTATTATGAAAATAGGTAATATAAAACCTGAATAAACTTTATATTCATAGTGCATCAGCAGCACCATGCTGTCAGATAAATGGAAAAAAAAAAAAAATCCATAGTATATCAAAAGGACACCGATTATTCCTGGCAAGTGTTTATTATAAAAAAGTATTTAACCAATCAGCTGCAATTGAGTCACAAAACCCCATTTTCTACAAATTACAATGATATTTGTCACCCTTCTAAAGTAGTATTTAGTATTGCTTGATGAAATCATGTATTTTTTTTTGTATGCGTTTCATTGTATGTTACAATCTTTTTGTTTTCTAGTGCCACCAGCAATAGAAGGAGGAGATGAAACATCTTACTTCATTGTGATGATTAATAACTTACTGGAACTAGATTGTCATGTGACAGGCTCACCCCCACCAACTATCATGTAAGGGTTTTGGTATGTCTTCTAAATACCTCACATTTTTTATTTGAATGTTTTAGAGCTATCTTGTAAAAGGTCCTGTGTCATTAAAAAGTGGTTACATGGAATTATTTTGTTTGTATTTCTCTTTTAAAAGACATACACTATGTACAGGGAAACTTCTACTTGACACTTACATGGCACCCATGTTTACTTAATTAGAGGAATTCCTTTGTATGTTCTTAAAAATTACATTTTCAGTTTGTTGTTGTTGTTATGTACCGTTGAGTTGGCCCCGACTCATAGCGACCCCTCCTTGGGTTTCTGAGGCAGTATCACTACAGAAGTAGGATTGCTCAACCTTCTTTCTGAGGAGTGGCTGGTAGTTTTGAACCACCAGCCTTCTGGTTAGCAGTCAAGTGCCTTAGGCATTATGCTATTTATAGAGACAGAATATTAAGCCATACTAATATCAAACTGAAATGTTTAATAAACTACTAAATAAAAAAAATATGCGAAACATATTAGGGAAATAGTATAAGTTTACATACACTTATATTCATTGATTCTTTTCCTTTATTCACAATATATTTGTGAAATATTATCTTTCATTTTCAAAACATGAGGGAAAGGAATATACTACTAGGGAAATAAGATGTTCACACATGATCGTAAAACTAAACTGAAAGTGATGGCTCTTGCAAGAAATGTAAAAGATATACTATACTATTTGATATCAGAGTTTTATTTTACAGATGTTTGAGGATTGTGTGGGTTTTGCTGGTTAATGTTATTTAAAAGTTTGAAGTAAGTAATATTTTAGGAAACTTGCTCCTTTCTGCAGCCTAAAATTGGTAAAAGAAGAATGGAAAACTTAAACATTTCTTTTACTCAGAGTTATTGGGTTCCAACAATATGCTAATTTCTTTGTTACACCTGTTTTCTTTTTTCCTTGAATTTTTTAAAAATTGATTTTACAGAATGAGCAACTGGGAAATTAGATACACAACTGAGAATTTTTTTCAGTGTATACTTATCTTCTAGAACTTAGTAATTTAAAATATGTTTCAACACTTCTTTTTGTTTTTTTCTATAGGTGGCTGAAGGATGGTCAGCCAGTTGATGAAAGGACTGGATTCAAGATCTTACTAAATGGACACAAATTGGTTATTTCCCAGGCTCAAGTGTCTGACACAGGTCTTTATCGGTGTGTGGCAACAAACACTGCTGGAGTTCACAAGAAGGAATTTGAAGTGACTGTTCATGGTACGCTGAAGAAAGGACAGGAGCATCATATGTAAAAATTAATTGATGTATTGTTTCATTATTTAACTCAGATTATAGCTGACTAATTTAGATAAATCTTGAGTTGTGGAATGTAGTAATGGAGGATGGGAATTAGAATTAAATAATGGCAGATCTTAAGGCACTTTACTGACACAAAGACTCAACCAAGTGGTACCATATGAATGAATTTATTCAGAATTTTAATGCTGGGAAGTGTGAGGGTCTGAGGAATGAGAAAAAAGAAGATAGAATAAGCAGATAGAAATTCGAAATAAAAGGGCTTATGTCAGCATCCAATAGGTTAGCCAAAACGGGGGAGTGTGAATAAAGTAGTTTCCAGAAATGGAGGCTGAAGATGTTATTAAAGGATCCAGGGCAAATAAATGGATTCACAGAACTGGCACAACTGAGTTATAACTATTAATCCTTTGATAGAAGCAACCCTTTGCCAGAGTATTATGTGTCTTACTTGCCTGCAGACCTTGGGAAGGAGGAACTGGAACCAGAAACTGGAGAACCATTTGGAAGCCACAAACAGAGGTTTCTGTGAATGTTGACTTCATCCTTTACCCTGTCTCAGCAGACTTTTTTGTTTCCTCCTTATTCAGTCTCATGATGGGCTAACTAATCCTGTTTCTTGGTATCAATTCTAGCCTCTGAGAGAGGGAATCTGGCAGTCTCATCTTACATCGAATTACCATCCTGGGTACAGTCAGCCTTGCTGGGGGCAGAGTCACACAATATAAATATGGGTACTGGAAGCTAACACTAATTTAAGGAGGTAGCTCTAGAGAAAGGGAAGTATTATATGTTGGGAAAACACACCAAAAGTGTAAAACAAATATACGTGATTGCAGTAGCTATAAATATGTTGTACCTATTCTTTGGAGCATTAGAGATCCATAATTAAATAATCAGTAATTCTAATGTGGCTAAAAAGTATAACTAAATGTATGGGATGAAATTATCTTACTGTTTGTTAAATTATAAAGTTTCAAGTTCTTGCATACATACTTTTAAGCATTTGATCCCATTGATTATGTTTTTCCCTCTTTATTTCCTTCCCTTCCCCACCTCCCTTGTGCCCTCCCTCCCTTCCTCCTTCCCTCCCTTCCTTTCCTTGTCTCTTTCTTTCCTTTTATTTTCTTTCTTAAATCAAGTTCCTCCAACAATCAAGTCCTCAGGTCTTCCTGAGAGGGCTGTGGTAAAATACAAGCCTATCACCCTGCAGTGCATAGCCAATGGCATTCCAAATCCATCCATTACATGGCTAAAAGATGGCCAACCTGTGAACACTGTTCAAGGAGACCTCAAAGTAAGCATGAATACACTCAGCCCAAATTGATAAAGTTGCACTGCATTCTTCTTTCTTAACTATAGATTTTCCTGTTGGATGGATTTTGTGGAAAATTTATAAAACAATATGTGTTTTTCTTAGAGTTTTTTTAGAATAACTGATATTTTGACTTGAAGAATGAAAGCAATTAAAGCCTTTAATAGCCTTAACAATGATATTGATTTTAACAAAATGCTTGATGTTTTTATTATTTTTGTTTATACTTGTTTTAACTATTGGAAAAGTACTATCTCATGGATGAACTTTGGCCATCAATAATAATCAGTAAGAAGCCCCCAATGTGTTCACCATAGAATAAGATTGAGGTAAAATCATACCTATGTAAACCCAAGTGAAGTAAGTCCTGAAAAACATTTTTGAGCTAGTGTGTAAGCTTCAGGAGGGAGAGGCTTAGTTAGCCTTATTCACTTGTGTGTTCTTCATACCAAATACTGAATAGTTCTGACACACTAACTCAGTATGTAGTTGTGCAGTTAATAGATGAATAGATAGATAGATAGATAGATAAAGATAGATTCCAATCCTATATACTAAATTATAGATTTAAAAATTGGAATTATGAGATGCTGCTCTAGGATCAAGTTAATTAACTAATGTGCCCTTGATCTTTGCTTTTAGTAAGTTCTTAATAATGAAGGATGTGATGAGTTGTGTTCCCAGTAAAAGTGATGGGGATCTGCTCATTAATTATTCTTTTTCCAAATCCAACGAAACTAACACATTTGTGCTAGTGAAAGATTCACCATGTAGCCTTCAAACACATAGTGCAAGTAAACAATTATTGACCCAAGCAGCAGACATTTATCATATAATCATACAAAAGTATAATTGCAAACTGTGATCAGCAATTTTAAAGGAAAATGTAAAGAGCTATAATAAAATATAATGAGGAAAACCTTTGAGCATTAGGAGAACTCATAGGAAAAGCTTTTGAGCAGAGATCTGAAGAGTGCTTAGGAGTTAAATGTGAAGTAATGGGAAACTGAGTATTTCAGAGAGGAATTATATAGGCAAACAAATTAGAGTGATGGAGAACACGATACATCCTGAGGACATGAAAGCAAGCAAGTTCAGTTCCTCTGAACTGAGGAAGAGACAGCAAGAGAAATATAGTATTAGTGGAGACTAGAAAGCAGGTAGGTTACGAGGCACTTAAGTAATGTTGTTAATAACTTCATTTTTATCTGAAAGCAATAGGAAGTTTTGGAGGATTTTAAGAGAGGAATAATCTGATAAATTTGCATTTTAAGAATGAATTGGAGGAAGAACAACTATATGGAAACCAATTAGGGCATATTGGCAGTTATCTAGAAAAAAAAGAAGATAGAAATGTGGACTCCCATGCTGTCATAGACATGAGGATGTATGGATAGATTTGAGAGCTCGGTAGTACTTAAATTATTAGTGCTCAGTCATAGATTGTTTATGAGGGATGAAGGGGTGGGAGATGTCAAGGAAGACTTCTAAGTATTTAAGCTACACAATTGCATGGATAGTAATGCTATTCCATGATACAGAATACACCAGAGGAGGGCAGGATTGAGAAGATAAAATCGTGATTTGAGCTTTAGACTTTTGGGGTTTGAGGGGAGTTTGAGATAAAGTAGTAGAGATGTCAGGTAAATAGTGGAGTATATGGTCCTGGAACACAAAATGGAGCTCTGGCTGGATATTGTCCATATCAGAAACCATGAGTTAATCCAAAGTAAGGATAAAGAGTAAATGAAAAAGGAGAGAGAACCAACTTAGAGCAGTATCTTAAGAAATTATGGCATTAAAAGGCCAGAGCAATGATCCTGAGGTTAATATAAATGTATAAATATGTTGCTTAAAGTATAGGATACTTAAATTAGTGCAGTATGGCAGGAGAATAGGTTATGTGTGTGTTTACATGGGAGAGGATCATTTGGAGTGAGCCTGGAGGGGAAAGCTGAGTTCAGATTTCATTCTTGGCAAAGTGTGGAGCCATGAATGAGATTTGAGCAGAGACTGGTAAAATAATCAAATTTGCATTTTAGACAAATTATTCTGGCAGCAGTATGCAGGATAGATTAACAGTTGAGATGATTGGAGACAGTGGAATATTAGTTATGACGCTGTTATAATCCCACAGTGTGTGGGAATGGAAACGGGATCTGAGAAACATACTATGATATAATTAATAGGAGAGACAAAGTGAGCTCTGAAACCCAAAGACTAGAAGGAAAGTGGGTGCCATTACATAAGAATGGGAACATGTGATGAGAACTTGATTTTAAGGGAAAAAAAGAAACATTCATGATCTCAGTTTTGGATGTGTTAAATTTCATGTGCTATATATCCAACAAATAGTTGGAAACAAAAATTTAGAGCTCAGAAGAGATATGGAGGTTGTACATTTAGGAGTCTACATAGGGATTTACCCTGAATCCATGGGTTCAGATAAAATCTATGAGGAAAATAGGCTTCCTGCTCATATAACAGGAAAAGGAAGCAGGTTCTATAAAGGAAGTTTCAAAGAAAGTCTGAGAATGAGAACTGAGGGAATTCTCTATCCTTGACACTCTGAGAGTAGAGTTTCAAGGAATAGATCCAAATGCTGTAGATGATGGAAGACAGTATGAACTTAAGTAGCCCTCTGGATATTGTGTTTGGAAGTTACTAGTAACCTCTGAATAATCAAACAATAACTTCTGAATAACCAGTTTCAAAATGGTGGAAGCCAGTTACAATAGGCTTAAGAGGGAAATAAGGAAAATCAGTGAGGGAGAAATGAATCTTTGTTCCCATTAGTCATATTTTATAATTTTTGTTGTTTTTCTGGCCCTCATGAACATTTAATCAAAAAAGATTGTTGTTTTAAAACTATTTATGAAGTGTTATATAAATGTGGCCGTGCTTTTTTTTCAAATAGCTTAAGTTTTCATCACATACCTCATAGTTCAGTGCTAAAGTCTTTTACTCAGTGGAGTTTTATGACTATACCAGCAGGCTGGCCTTAGGCTATTTTGTTTTGCCTTTTCCAATGAATATGAAAAGATTTTCAATCAAATTAGTCTATTTCTTGTATATAATGAAGTGATCTGGCTTTAATGTTTCAAGAGATAATTAAGATATTGGCATGGAAATATGATTAGAGAGTATAAATTTAAATGAGTTTGTCTATCTTAGAGAATGTTTTCAAGTCCAAGTGTAAAGCACAAGATTCTGCCATACTTTCTGCTCCCAATTAGATACAGTCTTCTGGTCGAGTTCTGCAAATTGCCAAAACCCTGTTGGAAGATGCTGGCAGATACACATGTGTGGCTACCAATGCGGCTGGAGAAACACAACAGCACATTCAACTGCATGTCCATGGTAATGTAATTTCCACATGCTAGCCGTCAATATTTCTGTGACATTTTCTTTTAACATAGTGGACTTATTCTTACTGAATTACAGAGTGAAAAAACCAGCTGTTTATTTCAGGCTTTATGAAAAAACCTAGAAAATGTTTTATATTATTGTAATTATCCTTGCTCATATAAAGTCCTCAGGTTGTCCAATAGGGTGTGTTATTTATAAAGCCATATATAAATCTATTGTTCTATGTCTTCAATTGTTCATGTTCTGTTAACTGATAACATTGCACAGATAACTTTTGTTGAAAAGATCGAAGTAGCAGTTTTGTTCCTTAGCATTGTCTATGCATTTTCTTGCCTGCTTATAAGAGGTATTTTGTGGGTAGAAGCTATCCTTGGCCCATAAGCTTCTCCCATGTGCTTTAATAAAAAGTGTGAGTGGCTGTGGAACACCTCATCAATATTACAGCTTCATAGTAAACTTGAAAAACTATGTGGCCTTTACTTTAAGGCTTCAGATCTCTGGACATCCATTGGAAAGGTCCAAGAATTATAGGCTTGAACTATACTAATTCAGCCAAAGATATTTGCAAAGAGCTATTCAAGATCTCTATGTATATGTTATTTTCTTAATTCACATGATTGCTTGTTCAAACTTTCATTTATTCATGTATTCACACCACATTTACTGACAACCTGATATATATGTTGGGCATTGGAAATATAAATAAGGCATAGTTTTTGAAATTAAGGAAAGAAACTATGCCTTACTTGTATCTGAATAGGGAAAGATAGAAATACAGCCAAATAACTACAGTGCAACATAAATCTTATGATCAAGTTATAAACTAAATGTTGCTTAAGAATAATTGTGGATAACATTACTTCCTTATTCATTGTCCAGCTCTCACATGCATAAGAGGCAAATAATCACTGTATACTCTTTATTTGTTAAGTATTTGTTGACTACTATACATGTAGAATTCAGCTAGGTGCTGAAGCATTATTCTAGGTTAAACTGTCCTCCCTGTTTAAATATCACCCATCCAACTCATAGTGACCACTTCTTGGGTTTCCGAGGTGATATCACTATGGAAGTAGATTGCTCAACCTTCTTTCCGAAGCCTACTTAATATAACAAAGGAAGTCCTATTCCCAAATAGAATTACATCCACAGTTGTTGTTGTTGTTGGTAAGTGTGTCAAGTCAGCTTTGACTCATGGAAACCCTGTGTACAGCAGAATGAAACACTGCCAGGTCCTGCACCATCCTCACAATCCTTGCTATTCTTGAGCCCATTGTCACAGTCACTGTGTCAATATATCTCATTGAGGGTCTTCCCCTTTTTTGCTGACCCTCTACTTTATCAAGCATGGTATCAGCCCATGGATGTTGTGTTTTCTGGTTCCTGTTGTTGACCAAGAGGGCTGAATGGTTGAAAGTGAGAAGATACACAGTCTGTTCAAGTAAGAGGATGACTCTGAGGGAAAGAAAACAGAGCATAAGAGAGCAAGTGAGCAACCAGAACATTCTTAAGTGGAAGTAGAGGGTGAGTATATCTGGAGATTAGGAAGAGAAACAAGGTTTTATGAGGAACAAGGCAAATTAAGGAAGAGTAAGGGAAGTCTTTCCCAATTCCTTGCCAAGCGTGCTGAGCCAATTTTAGTACGATGCAACTAGAGTCAGGCCAGTTTTACTTTAAATTGTATGCCAACCTTGACCAGACCACCTAATTTCTCTAAGGTTCAGGGTTATTGTGAGGATAATAATACCAGACTTGCAGTGTTTTTGAAAATTAGAGGTGATAGATATAAAATACCTCACATTTCATAGGCACTTAATAAATGGTAGCAGTTAACTTTTTCAACTTCTACTTTCTGAGATATTATAAAAGAAAAATGGATTTTGTTGTTTCCGTTCTTGTTCTCGTGACTGGTTTAAAATATTTAACTAGAGGCTTTATAATGTGTCTGTAGGACTGAGAACAACCTGCCTAGAGCATTCTGAAATGTCAGTGTGCATAAAAACTGTATGTGGTTCATGTTGAAAGCATGGCTTCCTGGACCCAGCACCAGATCTCCTGCAATAGGATCTCTGATGCAGGTGGTCTTTGTACCAGTACTTGGAGGAACATTGGCCCAGACAATAATGACTGGCAAAGAGATTTGCCAAGGTGATCAAGAATGAACAAAAATCAGAGTCCTTGGAAGAAACCAAGTATATCCTATCAAATAAAGTGCAAAACTAGAAGAGAGAAAACAGAGTCAGTACCCAAGGGAAACACAAGTCTATAAACCAGTTTTCTAAATGTGGTTACAAAATGTTGGCTAGAAGGGAAAACCATTAGGATGAATACATGGAAAATCACCAAAGAGAGAGGAAGCAAACTGGAAGGCATCTGGGCTAATGTGGAAAGAAAATGAAACAGAAGGTTAATAATTTCAAGAGTTTCCTAAAAACCACCAAATCAGAGTATATAAAACAATCTTCTAGATATGACTCACATATAGATTAGAGATAAGGTATAGTGGTAATGGGTAGTCTTTACTACACAGAATTGGTAGTACCTTTCAGCATAAAATATTTCATCTAAGAAGACAGTCTTAAAATGAGACAATCAACAGAACAATAAATCAAGTCCTGATCTGGAGCATTTAACATTTTCTAAGGTTTAAATAAGGAGCTTTGTGGTGCCATGGTTAAAGCACTCCTCTGCTAACCAAAAAGTCAGCAGTTGGAACCCACCAGCTACTCCATGGGAGAAAGATGAGGCAGTCTGCTTCCAGAAAGATTTGCAGCCTTGGAAATACTACAGGAAAGTACTACTCCATGCTGTAGGGTCACTATAAGTCAGAATTGACTCTGTGGCAGTGGGTTTGGTTTTCATTAGGTATAAATACTGCCATATGACCAAGTTCAAGCTACTAGCGTGGTATCACTGGATACAGAGTTGGAAAGAGAAGTGGAGTAGTAAAAAAGAAGAATAAATGATTAAATGAATTTATAATCTACTAGTGGTTGTGATCAACCAGGAGGCAGTGGTTGGCTCAGTGTATACAACAGAAAGCTGAATTGTCATTTTGGCACTCACGATAGCAATGGAACAGTGCATGTATGAGACTTCAAACCTGACTGTGTCCTCTTCAGGGCTTGTGTTAATGACTTCTATGAAAACTGGATGATGATAGGCTTCCAAAAGACTTCAGATGTTAAAATGACAAGTTAATCCATTGTGAAAAACTGCACAGGGAGAGTTAGAAGAGTGGTTTAAAGATAACACACATTGAAATACTTGAGAGTATTATTTGGCTTTTCTAAATTACTATAGCTATGATAATTCAGTTTCTTAAAAGAGCTAATCAATCTTAGAAGGCAGTAATAGAAGGTTACTGTATGAAGAACAAGAGCAAAATAAACCCATTCCGTAAAAGGCATCAGTTAACTGCTGCCATTTATTAATGCCTGTGAAGTGGAAGATATTTTATGGTTATCACCTTTAAACTTCAAAACCACTTTTTGAGCACTTCCAAAGTATTGTGTCCAGTTTGGGGCCTATATATTAAGAGAGGCATTGGCAAATTCGTAAGGAAACATTAATAATTTCACTTAATTTATTCACTTATGTAAGAGTCTTTGAGTTGTGCAAATGGTTAACACCCTCAGCTGCTCACTGACAGGTTGGAGATCTGAGTCTACCCAGAGGCACTTCCGGAGAAAAACCTGGCAATAAATGTAGTTCTGAAAAATTAGCCCTTGAAAACCCTGTGGAGCAAAGTTCTACTCTGATACACATAGGATCGCCATGAGTTAGAGTTGACTCGATAGTAACTGGTTTGATTTATGCTAAGTACTGGGGACACAAAAATATATGACATGATCTTTCCCTGTATAGTGACTTTATTCCAGAAGAGTAGACAAATGCATACAAATAATTAGGAAGAGTTGTCATTTAGAAAGATTTAATTTTTGCAAAGTTCTCTGCTACTTAACATACATGTTGTTTTCATTGCTGTCGTTAGGTGCTGTCAAATCAATTCTGATTGATAGCAACTCCAAGTGCAAAAGAATAAAATACACTATAGTCTTACACTATCCAACCAATCATTGCTATGTTTGAGATCATTGTTACAGCTACTATGTCAAATATCTCTTTGAGGGTCTTCCTCTTTCTTGTTGACCTTCTACTTTGCCAAGCATAATGTCCTTCTTCAGGGACTGGTACCTCCTGATAGCATCCAAAGTACATAAGACAAAGTCTCCCCATCCTCCCTTCTAAAGACAATTCTGGCTGTCGTTTTTCCTAGGCAGATTTGTTTTTTCTTCTAGTAGTTATGGTATATTCAGTGTTCAGTCATCCTTAGTCATTGTGTGCATATGAGGTGGTTGAAAAGATCATGGCTTGAGTCAGGTGCATGTTAGTCCTCATGGTGATATCTTTGCTTTTTAACACTTTAAAGAGGTAGTTTGAAGCACATTTGACCAAGGCAATACATTGTTTGATTTTATGACTACTGCTGCCATGGGAATTGCTTAGATCTAAGTAAAATGAAATCCTTGAGAATTTCAGTGTTTTCTCCATTTATCATGATGTTTGTTATTGGTCCAGTTGTGAGAATTTTTGTTTTACGTTGAAGTGTAATCTATACGAAAGGCTATAGTCTTTGATTTTCATCAGTGCTTCAAGTCCTCTTCACTTTCAGCAGCCATGGTTGCATCATCTGCATATCACAGGTTGTTAATGAGTCTTTTTCCAAGACTGATCCTGCATTCATCTTCATAGTCTAGCTTCTTGGATTATTTGCTCAGCATAGAGATTGAAATAAGTATGGTGAAAGGATACAATCCTGATGCACAACCTTCCTGATTTTAAACCATGCAGTGTCCCCTTGTGCTGTTCAAATGACTATCTCTTGGCCCATGTACAGCTTCCATTTGATCACAATTGTTCTGGAATTCTCATTCTTTTCATTGTTATTTATAATTTATCATGAATCAGAGTCCAATGACTTTGCATAG